TATTTCGTAGGTCATAAATTAAAGGTTATTTAAAAGTAGTTGTCAAATATGCCCTCAAGTCTTTGGCCATTTTAACAAATGCAACCTCAATTTGGTAAATTTATTACATATTATGTAAGTGGCTAACTCACCAATTAAATAGTTGTTGAAGATGTGTGGCTCATGTCATAGTCCTGAATCTCCTGATCTAGGGAATCAATTAGCAAGCCTAAAATTAAAACTAGTACTTGTACAACGTAAGATAAAACAAGTAATAATTTAAAATTAAAACTATCAACAAGACCGGGATATAACAACTAAACATCTTTCACTAAAAAAAAAAAAAAAAAAAGTACATAAAACTCCAACAAATAGACAGACAAATAAATGCGTGTACTATCAAAGTAATTAAAAATTACAAAATTACTTATTTTAAATATCTTTAACATATCAACTTTATCATAAATTCTTATACATGGCCAGTCATTATCATCATAGGGTTATTTTGTTAGTATTATAGGGGTTATTCCAATAGTGTTATAGGAGTTAATTACTCGATCAATGTAACAGGAGATTATTTTGTTTTTTTTACAAGCGGGCGGCTAAAAACAATTGCAATTTTAGATACTTAATATTCATTTTCACATATTTATTTTAAAAAAGAAGAATTTTCAAAATCAATTTTGTTTCCCTTTTCACCTATTTCAATTAGTAAATCTCTATCTAGGAGTTCCAAATCTTACATAAAGTTTTCGATTTTTTTTTTTTTTTTTTTTTTTTTTTTTTGGGTTACAAATAAATTTTTTGATTCGACAAATCAAAAGTATTATATATGGATTCATATATTTTATAAATCGTCCTAAAATAATAAAGAAATGTGCCGCCGCTCTAACACCCTTATCACGCATAAAAATACCACATGATCACACATCTCAACTTGGAGAATGTCCATCTGCTACGGCTTTTGCTTCCATCACATTACATTATACGAGTACTAATTCATATTTAAATTAATTATAGTATTAAAAAGTCCTAGTAGCTAGGTTACGTACTTTTAATTATTGTTAATTGAACAAGTAGGAGTACAAAATACATATATAATTAATAATAATTATCATAGTATAATTTTATTCGTTCAAGAAGTTTTGTTGTCAGTATATGGACCCTATTGTGTAATTAGCAAATACTGCGTGGATACACTTGGTAGCACATGACTCCCTCATTAGTCATTAACACTTGTTTAATTAATTAGTCTGAATTAATCATATTATATTAATTAATCACAAATTGATATTTAAATATTATCTTAATAATGTCACTTTCTCTCTTTTTCACTCTTTGCATGAGCACATCTAGATGATTAACATCGAACGACCAAGATTATGACGGGTATATCTATGTGACAGTGATAAACTTCATCATAATAAGATAAGGACAAATTTTTGTTTGAGCTTGCTAAGTAGCTCATTAGTTATCCACATCATCACAATTAACTCTTCATTCGTCTTTATAATTAACACCATTAAAGTACCAATAAATTTGGCTTACAATCACACACCAAAGTAAAAATTATCACAAGCCTTCCCCTTGAGCCTCTTTATAATCAACATTTGGGTTTAGTAGAACTTAGGTCTGTTTTCATTAACTGAACTCAGCTGAACTGAGCTGAACTGAATTGAAATGAATATTTTATAAGAGAAGGAAATTAGGAGCTGAACTGAGCTGAATTGAACTGAACTGAAAATAAACGTATGAGAACAGGCCCTAAGTTTGGATGGTTAAATTTTCATGCTAATCAATTAATTTATTTTTTGCTCTTTAAGCTTATAATTTGCTATATTCTGATCTGATTTTTCTTTTGGGTAGATGTAGTAGTCATCATCGACATGTTTTTCTTAATAACAATAATTGTTTTAAAGTCTATTGTGTGGAGCCATTACTTTGCATAATAATTTTATGAACTTTATAGCAAACAAATCTCGCATTATATTCCTTAAAACCAGTTGACAAGAAAATACAGAGAAGAATAATATCACACGCTGAAATTTAGGGTTGCTCATTCTGCTGATTGTTTCATTCATTCATTCTCCCTCTGATTACACTATCAGTCATTACATATATATGCTGCTAGGACCACTGACAAAGTGACAGCACACCCAAGGAAACTTCCTAGGAAACTTACAAATATAACGGCTAAGAGATGACTAAGAAATGACAGCTATAGACTAGGAACAGGACAAAGAAGATGAGCAATAACAGCAGTAATAGGAAATGAGCACCATCCTTCAACACTCCCCCTCAAGCTGTGAGGAAGAATTCTTGACTCCCAGCTTGCCAAGTAACTGATTGTATTGATCTGTAGACACCACCTTAGTGAATAAGTCTGCTAGCTGTTCTGAGCTCTTAACATAGGTAGGAATGACAGTTCCCTCAATCACCTTCTCTCTGATGAAGTGACAATCTATCTCCACATGCTTAGTTCTTTCATGCTGAACTGGGTTTGCAGCAAGAGCCAAGGCTGCCTGGTTATAACAGAACAATGGAGTATTTTTCAGAGACTTCAACCCCAAGTCCTTTAACAGTTGCTTGAGCCACATGACCTCACAAATGGTAAGTGCCATTGATCTATATTCAGCTTCAGCTGTAGATCTAGCAACAACCTGTTGTTTCTTTGCCTTCCAGGATATAGGAGAGTCCCCTAGGAGAATACAAAAACCAGAAGTTGATTTTCTTGTGATAGGATAGCCTGCCCAATCACTATCACAATCAGCTTTCAGTTCCACAGCAGAATCAGCAGCAAGAAGAATTCCTTGACTTCTTGACCCAGACAAATATCTAAGAACCCTGATTGCAGCTTGATAATGAGCAGAGGTAGGAGAGTGCATGAACTGACTGAGAGTATGCACAGTAAAGGCAATGTCTGGTCTTGTGATAGTAAGGTAAATCAGCTTCCCAATTAACCTCTGATATTTCTCAGGTTGAGTCAGAGGAGTGCCTGTATTATGAGTGAGCTTGTGATGAACATCCATGGGTAACCTCAGGGGTTTACAACCTTTCATGTTGTATTCCTGAAGTATGTCCATAACATACTTTCTTTGGGACAGAAATATTCCAGTATCTGATCTATCAGCTTCAATTCCCAAAAAATACTTAAGCTCACCCATATCCTTCATTTTGAGCTGACTGTTCAAATACCTTTTTGCTTCACAAATCATTTCCATGCTACTCCCTGTGATGATCAAACCATCAACATAGACAAGAATAGCTATGAAACCTTTTTCATCCTTTTTAGTGAACAAAGTGTAGTCTGTCTTTGACTGCTGGTAACCTTTCTCAGTCAAGGCAAAGCTGAGCTTAGCATACCATTGTCTGGGAGCCTGCTTTAGTCCATACAAGGACTTATTCAGTCTGCACACCTTTCTTGGTTCACTAGCAATATTGTCACCAGCAAATTTTTGTCCAAACCTGAATCCCTTCCCAAGATATCCCTGTGGAAGCTTCATATACACTGTCTCTTGAAGATCTCCATGAAGAAATGCATTCTTCACATCCATTTGATGAACATCCCATCCCTTCATTGCAGCAACTGCCAATAGAGATCTCACAGTTGACATCTTTGCTACAGGTGCAAATGTCTCTTTGTAATCCACCCCTTCCTTTTGCCTATTTCCAAGAACAACAAGCCTTGACTTATTTCTTTCAATCTTTCTTGTTTTAGGGTTGTACTTTGTAGTATAGAGCCATTTACACCCAATTGCATGCTTTCCCTGAGGAAGATCAGTGATTTCCCAGGTGTTGTTGTTTTCTAGAGCATCCAATTCTTCATTCATTGCTTCCTGCCATTTGCAATGATTTACAACATCTTTGAAATGCATTGGATCAGGTTCTTTGACAGTAGATACCATCATGCAGAAATAGTTTGCACTTGCAGGAGTATCAGCAACTTTTCTTACAGCATTAGCATAGTTCAGAGTAGTGGCACCAACTTTATAGTCTTTATGCCAACAAGGAGCTTTAGTTTGCCTTGAGGATCTTCTCATCTCTTCTGAGCTTGACTCTTCTCTTGCTGAGTTGTCTGTTTCAGTTTCTTCTTCATAGACCTCTTCACTCTCAGCTTTATCATCATCATCATCATTCCAGCTCTGATTCTGCTCATTGTTCTGATTTCCTTCTCTTTCTGCAGAAGCTGTATGAAAAATGTGATATGGAAATATGTTCTCATAGAACTTTACATCTCTTGATACAAAAGCTTGACTGTTTATCAAGCTAATCAACTTGTACCCTTTCTGATTGCTTGGATATCCCATGAATATACAGGGGATTCCCTTTGCATCAAGCTTGTCATGTGAAATACTTGGGTTACTGGCCATAGAAAGGCACCCAAATGTTCTCAAATCTTCATATGTTGGTTTCTTGCCATTAAGAACCTCATATGGAGTTTTGTCACCAAGAACAACAGATGGTAACCTGTTGGTAATGTATACAGCAGCATGTATACAGTCACCCCAGTATTTTACAGGAAGCCCTGCTTGAAATCTCAGAGCTCTTCCCATCTCCAATATGTTCTTATGTTTCCTCTCAGCTCTTCCATTCTGCTGAGGCCTTCCTACACATGATGTTTGATGAATTATACCCAATTTTTCATACAAAGGCCTGCACTTTTGATCCTCAAATTCTGGTGCATTGTCAGACCTCAATATTTTTATCTTTCTTCCATATTGAGTTTCCACCATTTTCACAAAGCTTTCAAGAACCTTGAATGCATCAAATTTTTGCACCATGAGATTTACCCAAGTTACCCTTGTGTGATCATCAACAATAGTCAGAAAGTATTTATACTTTCCTTTTGTACACACCCTATGTGGACCCCAGGAATCAATATGCACAAGATCAAATGGTTCCTTTGCCCTAGATTCACTCTCAGCATAAGGAAGCTTTGTGAACTTTGCTAGAGGACATGTCAAACAAACCTCACCCTGTCCTTCTTTCAACCCTTTTAAACCATGAATTTTTTCAATTCTCTAAATTGGGGCATGCCCCAATCTATGATGCCACAAAGTTCTAGAGCTTAATTTTGGAACATTAGTCACAACTGTAGGGACACTTCTATATGTACTCACATTCATTGCTCCTTTTCTCTCACTCTCTTCTTCTCCAGATATTTGTGCCTTTAACTGACCTATAACTGTCTCAATGGGTTTGTTTTCCAGATAGTACAAACCACTCCTCATTCTTCCTATCCCTTTAACAGTATTAGACTCCAAGTCATGTATGATGCAGTATTTGGGATAGAACAATATCTTACTATGTGAATCATGCATAAGTTTATTCACAGAAATAAGATTATGCTTGAAACTAGGAACATACAGTACATTTTTCAGAGATAAATTGTTTCCCAGATTCACACTGCCAAAGTGAGTAATATTAGCAGTTTGGCCAGTAGGAAGATTGATTTGAGGACTGTTTTTACTTCTAACAACATCATGCATTGTATTCAAATATCCAGTCATATGGTCAGAAGCACCAGAATCTATTATCCATTCATTTTCAATAGATTCAGCAAAATGACATGATACCATACCTGCATAGCTGTGATCTGTTTCTTCATCATTATCACCAAAGGACTGCTTTGGAAGCATTTTCAATAGAGCTTCTATCTGCTGAACAGTGAATTGATTTGTAGAACCAGTGCTTGATCCACCAAATTCACTCTGATTGCTGCTCACATTTGCTGCAACTTTGTTGCCTTTGTTTCTATTTCCCCACTTGTTGTTCCCTGGAGCTATCTTCCCTTTTCCTTTCTGAAAAACTGAGACAGGTTTCTGCTGATATTTTGCATGCCAGGTAGGATACCCAACAACTGTCCAGTACTGATCTGCCATGTGCCCTGCCTTCCCACATGCTGTGCATCCATTTCCTGAGAGAGGAGCAGAACCTCTACCAAAGCCACCTCCCCCTGAAGGAACTCCCCCTGAAGGTGATCCTCTACTAAACATCACTAGAGGTTCAGAATCTTCTCTAATGTTGTTAAAGAGAGATCTCTGAGATTCTTCTTGTTCAAGGTAGCAACATGCTGTTTCTACAGATGGCAAGGCAGTCATCATGAGAAGCTGACTCCTTTGAGGTCCATATTCATCATCAAGACCATTTAAAAATTGGAACAACTTGTGTTCCTCCATTTGCTTGTTCAGTGATGTCAGAAAAGCACTCACTTCAGAAGTGATATTGGTGATTACAGGAAGGGCATGAAGAGATTCAAGTTCTTCCCAGATTGCTTTCATTTTAGTATAGTATTCACTGATCTTCTTTCCTTGATGCTTGGTCTCATACAAATCTTTGTTTAGTTTGTATTTCCTAGACCCATTTGTAAGAGAGAATCTCCTTTCCAGCTCAGTCCAGATCTGAGATGAACTGTTAACAAACATGATAGATTGTTTGATTGAGTCTGATACAGACCCTAATATCCATGAGATTATCATACTATTGCAGGTTTCCCATGCCTCAGATTTGACCTCATCACCGTGGTCTTTCTTTAGTGTTCCTGTTACAAACCCAAGCTTTCTTTTCCCAGCAAGAGCTATCTCCATAGATCTCTTCCATGACCTGAAGTTGGAAGATCCTTGGAGTTTCTCAATCCCAACAAATGCTTGACCATCTGAAGGGTGGAGATAGAGAGGGCTGATTGGATCAATAGTTGTTGTTGGCATTGTAAATAGAGGATTTTAGGGTGTAGAAATAAAAAAAAAGATTGTAACTTTATACAGAGAACATTAATATCAGAGAATGTTTGCAAGTTTGAGAAAGAAAAGAACTATTTTTAGGCTAGATCTGAGCCTGCGGCTCTGATACCATGTTGACAAGAAAATACAGAGAAGAATAATATCACACACTGAAATTTAGGGTTGCTCATTCTGCTGATTGTTTCATTCATTCATTCTCCCTCTGATTACACTATCAGTCATTACATATATATGCTGCTAGGACCACTGACAAAGTGACAGCACACCCAAGGAAACTTCATAGGAAACTTACAAATATAACGGCTAAGAGATGACTAAGAAATGACAGCTATAGACTAGGAACAGGACAAAGAAGATGAGCAATAACAACATTAATAGGAAATGAGCACCATCCTTCAACAAAACCCACTATAATTAAACAAAATAAAGATCTTCTCTTAAGCTATATTGTAATCGTGGCACGACAATCCCAAATACACCAATAGGACCAATATATAGCCTGTTTCGGATGAAAACAATCGAATCTCGGAAGATCCTTTTATCTTGAGGGAACTTGGTCTCGGTCCGAACGACGCAGGAGCCGAGGGTTTCCTGCACAACAAATACACGTAAACTAGCCTCGGGGGGGACGCCGAGGAAGGCCCCTCCGATGCTTAAGTCAGTATATTAGAGAGAGAAAGCTGTGCAAGAGTTTAGTTGCTTGAGGCTTTATTGTCTTACCAAGAATTGACCAAATTGTTGGCTTTTATACCTTGGCTAATGAAGGAGGCGGATTGGGCCCGGAAGTCAGTTGGGCTGGGCCAAGCTGATTGGGCCGTTGACTGACCTTGACATGGCTTTGAGGATGTTTGATTTTTGACTTTAGCACATTTGGAGAGTTGAACCTTAACCTTGGGCTTTTAATTGGATCATTCAGTGACCAGGCCCAATTGGACTAAATTGGACCCAAACAACTTGCCCCCCAGACCCGATTTGGAAGGATGACGGGTCGGGTTTGATTTAATCAGAAAAGGAGGGAAGTGAATGATTTGTTAATCCAAAAATGTGAATTTAAACCGTAATTAACCCATGATTAATGAGATAACAACAGTTAATGTGGATAATTGCGGAAGTTGGACGGGTAGTGGGCGATTTAACTGCAAGGTCGTGTGTTTAACGGTTACTTAGTGGGGTGCTTGAGAGAAATTGAAACGCAGACTCCTTGAGTTCCCATTTCTGGAGATATAAATAGAGGCGCGTCTTCTCTCCCCACTCATTCGTCAACACAAACCCAGAATTCTCAAGAACGCTCAAGAGCCCGCATCAAAACTTCGCAAATTCCCCGAGCATTAAGCTTAGAAGCTGAGACTTGTCACTACCAATTCGTAAATCGGCGACTTTTGCTTCAGATCAAGGTAAATTCCTTTGATTTTATTTCATTTTTCTTCGACTTTGCACTCTTTCCCCTTTTTCGACTTTTTCCTTCGAAATTCGTCAATGGTGAGGGGAGTTAGAGGTGGAGCCCGTGCTCCAAGAAGAGCAAGGCTAATCCCCGATCCCAGGGACAGGATTGGGACCTGGAATGGACGAAGGACAGAGTCTGACCCTGCTGAAGGGGTTAGGGCGACTCCCATTTCTTCGGCTCCTCCTCAGAGGGCTGAGGGGGTGAGCGCTTCAGGACGGGATGATGAAATTCCCGCTGTCCTTTGGGATATCCTCCCAGGGTTTTCAGAGTGGGAGGATGCCGAAGTAGCTTCGGCCATGATAAAGAACCGCCCCTACTCATGGTGGGTGGAGAATGCTGATCAGTACCGGTTTGCCGAGCAAATTGAGTTGCATTACGGCATCCTTGAAGCCGATGGGTATTGGTGCCGAATGCCCACGGCCTCCGATAGAATCCACCGTCCACCCCCGGGGTATGTGGGGGTGTACACAAGACAACTCCAGTACGGGCTGAGGTTCCCTTTGGACGTATTCGTCCGAGACTTGCTGATCCATTACAACATTTCCCTGTGCCAGCTGACCCCCACCAGCATCCGAAGGGTAATGACGTACTTATGGGTCTGCAAATTCTTCAGGTACGTGCCGAACCTGCATTGCTTCAAAAGGCTCCATCGGCTAGTGCCAAACATTCAAAGTGGGCACGGATGCCATGGCTCTGGGTGGTATCGGATTGAGTCTCGGCCCCCGTTCCTAACCATGTGGCCGAACGACTCTTCAGACAAGGACTGGAGAGGTCAATGGATTTGGGTTAGGGCACCCACGGAGCCGAGCCACCCTTACGTTTTCAGCGCTCCCCGGTATCTTGCCGAGCCGGATCCTGATATGGGAAGTTTAGGTCCTCCCGAAGATAGCGGGCCAGACCCGAACCTTAATCAGCAGAACATCTTCGGCAAGCTGCCGAACCGGGGAGGCAGCGGCCGAATGCAGCATATCCCGGAGACTTGGCTCCCCGATACGCACTATGTTTTCCAAGAGAATATGCTGGCAGCTGTCGGCCTCAGCCGAAAGTTTAGGGATGGTAATCTTCTTCGGCTGGGGCCGAGGCCTTTTAATTATCTCTTTTCTTCTTTCATTTTGCTTTCTTGTGATGTGCCGAACTAACTGAATTGACTTCTCCCCTTTTCTTTTTCAGAACGGGACGAGACCAACGTCGGCATTGATTACGCTCGCCTTGGCGTCAACCGAGAACGAGTCGTAACTGATCGGGCTCCCCCTATCACTGAACCAAGGCGCCGAGAGGTTCACCTAGACTCTTCCCACTTCCAAATTGAGGCTGTTGCTCTGTATCAGAGGCAGAAGCCTTGGTGGAAGAAGAGAGATCCCTTGTTTCAGCTGCTGGAAGAAGAAGCTGAAGCTGCCCGTACAGCCGAAGAGGTTGCACGGGTTATTGAAGCTTGTGAAGGTGGAGAAGGGTCCTCCAGAGTTGCTGAAGAAGCTGCGGCTAGGGCAGCTGAAGAAGACGAGGCTTTGCTGAAGACCTCGGTGAGCCTTTAGACTTAACTTTGTCTTTCTTCTTTTTTTTTTTTTTTTTTTTACTCACATTCTTCCCCCTGCCTGCCCTTTACAGTCTGAAGAGAGCAGCAGACACAGGGAAGGGAAAGCCCCTGTTCGTCCCGAAGACCAAGTACAAGAAGAGTCTTCAGACTCGGGTATGGACGAGCAGCCGCTTCAGAAGAGGCGCCGAAGAATGGCCATCATCGGCCCGCATGACTTTCAGCGGAGGCCGATGACCATCGGCGTTGAAATAAGGGAACCCGAGGAAGGCAATGGATCGCCGAGGGTTCCCCGGCCACCGCCTCAATCACCCCCAAGGGCCTCTCCGCCACCCCCCGAGATGGAGGTGGATCAGAGAACTCCCAAACCTAAGGGAGAGGTTCTGGAAGAAGCTCGAGAGAGTGCCGCCGAGGACAAGGATGGAGACGCCGTGATGCCCAGTGCTGAGGGTTTCACGGCGGACATTGCCAGAGAGGTTGGGGCCTTCGTCCTCACACCTGAAGAAGAAGAGGTCACAATAATTGACTCTTCTGAGAAGGAGGAGGACGTTGAGCCACCCAAAGCTAAAGAGGCTCCATCGTCATCCTTCCCTTCCTTCCAGACGCTGCAGTCTGGAGAAATGGGTTTCTCGGCCCCCCGAATTCCAGTCCCAGACCACATCTGGGACCTCATATGGGGTCAGAACCGAGAAGGTGCTGCAGCCTACTTCGGCGATTTTGCTGGCCTGTCCGAAGTAGATAGGGCAAGGATTTGGTCGCTGAAGGCCACTGCTGGGATGGGCGAATCCAGCAGATCAGTTCCTGACCCTGCCAGGTCCAACCAACTGCTGATGATGCAGGTAATTCTCCTTGCCTTGATTTCTTTCTGAACTCAACCTTTCAGCTATTATTTTTTACTTTTTTAACTTGTGCCCCTGTTTTCAGTTCGTGCACAATCAGACTCTCACTGTAGAGCTGATAGATACCCTACAAGATAGGGTAGACGCTGCTGTGCACGAAAGGAAGGTGGCTGAAGAGGAAGTTAAGCTTGCTAAGCTGAAGCAAGCAGCAGCTGAAGAGAAGCAGCAGGAGGTTGAGGAGTACGGTAAAAAAGCTGCCGAAGCTCTGAAAACCTTCTGCGATGCTATGGAGATGGAGGTTTTTCCCCCACTGATGGAAGGGGAAAAATTCCTCCAGGAGCATATGGGAGTGGACGTCTCCAAATTCAAGGCTGCTATTGAGAGCCGAATTCAAGAAGGAACTGCTGCACAAGCTGAAGTGCAGCAGCGTCTAGAGGCTCTTGAAGCCAGCCGAATGGCTGCTGAAGAGTTGCTCTTGGCCAAAGACGTCCAACTCTCAGAGGCTGCTGCTGCTGCTGAAGCTCAAAGAGCTAAATTCCAAGAGGCTGAGGATCAACTGCTGATCCAGAAAGTTGAAGTGGCCCAAGCTCAGACAAAGGCTTTCCAAATTCAGCAAGAGCTGAATGAGCTGAAGGGGTCCTCCTCCAAAGTCGCTGAACAGCTGAAGAAATCCAAGGAAGACTTGGAGGAGACCGAGAAGAAGCTGGCTGATGCTGAGGCTTTACTCAAAGTCCGTGTTTACACCCAAGAGGAATATGAGATGGGTTTCAGAAACGGATTCCGAGTATGCCGAAGACTCTGCCTTCATGCTGAGCCGAAGCTGGACTGGTCTAAATGTGCTGAGTGGGTCCAGAATCCCGAAGACCCTCACATGAAGTATGCAACTCCAGCTGAAGCTGAAATTCTTAAGGCTGAGGAAGCCGAAGAGGAAGCTGAAAGACTGGAGTTGGAAGCTGAGCAGAGGGAAAGGGAGGCTCGGCAAAATGCAAAGCCCGCCTCTTCTGCTGCTGGGGCTGAGGCCACCATGGGACTCAACGCTGATCAGTCTGATCCTCCGGCTGAAGCATAGGAACTCGGGCAGTCGTCTTCAGAATCTTGCGGTTCATCATGCGCTCAACTTTAGACTTGCCGCTTTCTGAATTTTTGCCTTTTG